ACCTACAGTTCCGCCATATGCGAACATCTTTTAAATAGCAGAGATTGTGCTGCCAAATTTAGTGTTGACTGGTTCATCGTGTGGCCCGGTCACACTCTGTATTTCATCTGAAGGTTCTGGAGGCACTTTACATCGGGTCCCGCAAGCCTTTGTGCAAACAACGTGAGTGTTTGCTGGGACTCGCTGTCATCTGCCTCTAGTTCCTTCTTGCATATATACAAATATATATATATATTTTTTTCCACCTATTCTTATTGCACATTTCTCTGTTTTAATTTTGAATCTCCCGTGGAAGCCTGAAGAGCGGGAGCGAAACCGGTTGCTTCCCGCCCCCTTGTTGTTGTGTTTTTTTATTATTATTTAATATTGTTTTAATATGTCTTGTAATATTAAATTTTATACTTTTATTTCGATCATTAAATTTTGTTATATATTAAATTTTATACTTTTATTTCGATCATTAAATTTTGTACCTACAAAAATATCTTTTAAATATATATATATATATATATATATATATATATATATATATATATATATATAATGGTGTAGAATTTCAATTTCGTAAAGAGCTCAATTTTATATTGGAGATGGCAATTTTATATTGGAGATGACAATTTATCCATCGCACTCTGCACATATATATATATATGTGTGTGTGTGTGTGTATGTGTATGGAGAGTGCGATGGATAAATTGTCTTCTCAATGACGCAAAAATGAAAAGAACACTGACATCTTTTTTTTAACACATATATTTAGCAAAATTGCACAAAAATATCTTGAAAGAGAAGAGAGTAAATTCATTCAATAAAATCGCCATTGACATCCACCACGGCCTCCAGACAACTTCGGAATCTTCTGCAAATCTTCTTCCTAGTTTAAGTTGGCGCCATAATCCTTGCCTTCAGTTGATCTTTGGTGTTACAAGGAGTTGTGTTGATCTCTCGCTCAACACATAATAATCAAAGATGTGGCAGGCTGGGAAGTTAGGTGACTGGATGTAAGGAGGGATGCGGAAACAGAAATTGCCTGACAGCCATATATATATATATATACAGTAGCGGCCATAATATAAGGAACGGAAACAACAAAGACATAAATATGTGTATTACTTAAAAAGTAACGCATGAATGAATGCAATTTTTACCGAATAAAGTTTATGGTGTAATGCATAAATATTATACAAAGTTACAAAAATTTACATAGTAGTTTTTTTTTTAAATAAAAATTAAATGAAACAAATGAAATAAGCTACTGGGTAAAAGTTAAGGAACGATGTTAATAATTTGCATAAACTTTTAATTTACATTGTTAAAAAACTCGATGGAGCGTTTCAACAATAAATAAAAGTTCATTTATCATTAGGACATTATTTTTAAGCAATATAGCAAATTTTAAACGCAAAACGCTCTCTTTTAAATAAAAACAACTCATTATCGATAACTATCTAGAAAAAAAGTTAATTTCAGAAATTTCTGATATTGTTCATAGGTCTAAAAGTGTCGAGAGATAGATAGATAGATAGATAGATAGATAGATAGATAGATAGATAGAGAGATAACGTTTAATGTTGACATGAGGTGGATATATTATAATTGCCAAGACTACTGCCATGAATACTGGTTCTGTGTGCTAGACAGTTTTTTTTTTCTCGTAGAATTTTTCCTAGTGCTACTTCTACGTATTTAGAGATTCTTAGGTTGGGGGCGGATCTAAAATGTTGTCGGTCCTGACCTGGCATATCGGCTTCATTCCTTTTTACACTGCCGTTACTGAAATTTTATCTTTTAATTTTAAAGTATACAAAAATATCAAATTTTACCGTGTTATATATTTTTGTAGCGAAATGCAAGGAATCTGAAAACTTTTTGCCCGGAGGATATATTAATTGTTTACAAAAACTAATATTATATTAATTATGAATACTGCATAAATGCTTTAAATGTTTACAGTAGATAGTTTAAAATATCGAGGTTTTAACTAATAGTTTTAAGTATTTTTCTTATTTTAAAAAGATATTTAGGCATTCAATGACTTAGCCACCTCCTTTGACGTTTTCACGCGTGTCTACAGAATAATATTTAAAAATTGTACAGTACATAACTTTAGAGTTTTTCACTTCACACATAAAATAGTTAAGTTTCAGATGAACACTACAATTTTAGTCTTTGAAAAATAATGAACAAAACAATTTTCTGTCTTAGAAAAAAAAAAGGCCCTGATGATGACATTCCGTTAATGTCGGAAGTACTCGGAATAGAATGAATATGCATCAACATGGTAATTTTCTTTTTTCCTTTCATAAGTATACTAAGAATCTTGAGCGTAATTACGAGAGGATCCTATTTAAAATAAGTAGACAATTTGTCTAAATTATTTAACGAGACATGTTTTTATATATATATATATATATATATATATATATATATATATATATATATGCATGTTTCATTAAAAACGACAGACAGGGGTACTACGGTTAAACTTTTACTTAATTTTTTCTTGTGTTCTGATTAGCTTTCTTTTTCTGGACAAAGGGGTGTAAGAAATGTCGAAATGTTTTATATTTCCGAGCACTTTCGGCTATATCTTTAGCCATTATCAAGGATGATTCAATTTTTTCAGCGTAATTGAGTATGTGCTTTATGTGTATGTCCAATCATCCTTGATAATGGCTAAAGGTATAGTCGAAAGCGCTCGGAACTAAAAAAAACAAAACATTTAGACAGTTTTTACACACTCTTTGTCAAGAAAAGAAATCTCTTTTTCAAACACAATAAGAATTAAATAAAAAGCCTAACCGTAGTACCATGTCTGTCGTTTTTAATGAAACACAGACACACAGATATACAGTGTAACCCAGATATAAGAGAGTTGTCGGGACCGAAAAAGAAGTCTCTTATATCCGGGTTTCTCTTATATCCGGGTTTGGTCTATTATATATACATTAACACAGGCTCTAATTTGGGACCAGAGAAAATCTCTCTTATATCCGGGTCTCTTATATCCGGGTTACACTATATATATATATATATATATATATATATATATTACAATGATATTTTGTTTGCGAAAGGATTTCGCCATTTTATATCATTAACTTTACTAATCTGCTTTTTGTATGAATGATTCATTGTAATATAAATTGAACTGCACCATATAAATATATATATATATATATATATATATATATATATATATATATATATATATATATATATATATACGGTGTTCATCCTGCCCTTAAATTTACATAGATAAGGAGATCAATGGTTCATTGCCCTTCTTAGATGTTCTTGTTCAAAGAACTCCTTCCTCGTTTATTACCTCTGTTTATAGGAAGTCCACCTTTACAGGTCTATATACTCGATGGGACTCTTTTTGTCCTAAACGACAAAAGATCAATTTGATTAGGACCTTGACACATAGGGCGTTAATGATCTGTTCAAATAACACCTTGAAAGATGAAATCAGTTGTTTAATTGATATCTTTGTGAACAATGATTATCCGTTGGACATTGTTCAATCGGTTATTCGGGATAAGACTGCCAGGTTCAATAAAATCAAACCTGCATCAGTGGGTAAATGTCCAGTCTATCTTCGTTTACCGTGGTTGGGTAGGATTAGTGAATCTTTC